CTCAAAATAAATTTTGCAATATTACAGGTAATAGATGTTAAACTTTGACAATGACTATATTTCTTTAGGAAAGATGTTTCATTTGTAATAATATTGCTATAATGTACAAGACTTTATTTACAAAACTAGTTAAAATTCCGTGCAATGCATGGATTTTACCAAAAAGTTTAATATATTGTGAATTCAATCATACTGTAATAATTTACCAAAAGAAAAATATATTTTAAATAAAAAAACCCTTAGAATTTGAAATTATATTTTAGTTGAATATATATGGTAAATATATTATGAATAAATGGGAAGGAAATATTATTATAATATTTTAAATATTCTTTAATGATTTGATTAAGTAAACAAAAATGTAAAAATAAATAAATTAATTTAAAGGTAAAATAACATTACCAAAAAAATAACACATGTCATTTCTAATATCTATTTTAATATTATGTATTGATTACATACGAATATGAAAAATTGAATGTAGTAGGGTTAAATTAGAGCTAAAATTTGCATTGGTTACCGAGGTGAATTTTAGACAGAAATTCATCAGTGCGATTGAGCACATGCACATGAGCCAACATGTGGACTGCACGAACAGGTTAAGTTCAACTTTCAAGATGTCGTTTTCTTCAATAATCGGCAAAATTGGGCATTGTTTTAACAGATTTCGGTCCATTTGGGTTATGAACCGTGTTACTGTTTTGATCCATTTCATACAGTTATATGTTTCTCAACTCTCAAACATGATAGGCTTATCAGAAGGTTTATTGTCTTTTGATTGAGAATAAATACGGAGTACCAATTTAGTTAACTTCATCATAACAATGGTAGAAGACTAGAAGAGGTAAGGAGCTGGCATATATGAAATGTTTGTCATGCTGTGTTCGTATCTGAATTTGAAGATGAATGGTTTGATTGATTAAGCTCAAACATTAACCCGACCTAGCTATTTAATAAATAATGGTAGTCATGTTGATGATTAAATACGACGTAATTATTAACACTAATCTGTTTTTTTTTTCTTTTATGGATCATGGATTGTGGTGTGTTATACTTCGTATTAAAATTAGTCTCCCTCCGTTTTTTTTTATTTTTATTTTAAAATGTTACACTTTGACTTTTTTCACTATTTATATAATGGTTTTGACTTGATTATTTTACTAATATATATATTATATTATTGTATGATAATTGTTGGATTTAGTAGCAATGTAACATGCATCGTTGATAAGATATACTTCCATTCCTATATACTTTTACCGACTTTGTCTCATAAAAACATTTCAAGTAGGAAGAACAATATAATCATTGGTTCATGAAGGCGGATGTACCATGTGCATAGTAATCCGTTCAATAAAAAAATAAAAATAAATAAAAAAAGCGAAAAGAACATTGTATAGAAATGTAAAGTACATTTAGTTAAAGTGAAAAGAACATGATATAGAATTGTAAAGAACATATATCTAAAGTGAAAATAACATATTGTAAAAATGTAATGAACGTGTAAAAGAACATAAGAGATATAAAAAAAGAATATAAAACTTTTAATAACAATGAACATGACACTATTTTATAAAGAACACATGTTAAATAATATTCTTTATCTCCATGTTATTTAATTGTCAGTGTAATATATTATTATTTGTGACATAATATTCATTATTTACTGTAAAATGTTCTATAAATTTTGTCTTTAGATTATGTTGGGTGAACATAAATAATGTTCATTACATAATATTATCATGTTATTTATTAATATTATGGATGTTCTTTAAGTATACAAAAAGAACATAAAGATGGATGTTTATCAAATGATCGTGTCGTGTCGTGTTGACTTATCTAATTAAACATTGTCTTTTTTTTTATACTTTTTTTGTGTATGGTTTATCGATTCATATTGTGTCAACTTTTACCAATGCTAGAAGTATTGCCCAACATTCTAACGTCACTATTATTCCTTTGTCCAGAAATGTTTAACCAAATAAAGAAAATTCACAATTTTTCTACGGAGTTTGTCATAAATATTTGAATTCAGTTTAAGCTTTTATGGATAGATATAAAATTAATTAGAAAAGAAAAAAATCAGATATTGATAAGGTTTGTTTCAATGTGTTGATGGGCAGGTCATGCAGGGTGAAGCTTCTAGAGACCTCTAGAGTCTAGTCAGACGCCATTGTATATTGACTTTTTAGTTGACGTTGGTGGACTTGTATGCCTACTTCTAAACCTGGACCAACAGCTTCTAGATATACCAATTTCTTTAACAACATCAAGCTCTACCATTTTTTTCCAAAATCAATTTAGAAAAATATAAGTCAACTTTGGCAAAAACAGAAGTATAAAAGTATGATCTACTTTACATAACAATATCTACAAGAATATCATAATAATACAGTAAGTTTTAATCAATTACTCCGTAAAATAATTAAATTTAGAAAAATAACACCTGATCATATGGCCAATTTTAGAAATAACATTTAAAAAGTTGACAAAAATGGAAAGCAGCTTCCAAGAAACCTCTCATGCGATCAGAAGAAGGTTCACATTAAGCGGTCTAACTTCTACTCGTAGTAGACATCTCGTACGCGCTACATCATAATCCACTCGTGCCAAATCTCAATTTTAATCTCAATATCACAGCTATTTTTTTTTTTTTTTTTTTTTTTGAAACACTCAATATGACAGCTATTAGATATGCATGTTAGGGATATGGGATATAATAATCAACATTGGAAAATATATTAGAAGATAATATTAAATTAGACAGCCGGTCATGTGTGTTGCTAGCTACATCGTGTAACCTCTTATAAAATGACAAAGTGACATAACACTGACCAAGTGACTTCTATAATACATTAATACTGACCGAGTAACCCTATAACATTGACCGAGTACCCGATAACTTTGACGAAGTAACCTCTTTGACACTGACCAAGTAACCCCTATTATAGTAACGAAGTAACCCCTATGATGATTGTAGCCACATACGAAGGATAAGAATTTGTGTAAGTTGGAAGGTGTTAGGTTTGTTTCCTATAACTAGGATTAGAGCATCCAAAATGGTTACATGTAGCTAAAGGTTGTCACAACCTCTACAATGACAAGCTACTTCTTTTGTAATTTTATTATGTCCATGATGACATAAAATAAATAAATATTTTTAACAAATATATAAATTATATTAAATAAATAAATATAATAGCATTGGGTGGAGTAAAACTACATTACTCTATAATTAGGCTTAATTATAAGAGGTTGTAACTGCACAATGACTAGCATGTAGCTAGCAATTATTTAAAAATTGCTAGCAGGTCATTATACACAATTATTGTGAGGGATCTTAATTAGCTGTAGAAATACAATATACGAAGTAAAGCATAACGGCGGTCCAAGCAAGGATTTCAACACGGTTGAAATATTCCGCATTTGCACCATATAAATACCAATCTCATTGAATTCTCAAGAAAAATGTCATAAAATCTTGAACACAAATATTTCTCTAACAAAGAATTCCTTCTCTTTATCCCATCTTCCTTTTCCCATATCATTATTTTGGTAGGATCAAATATATATTTTCAAGTAAACAATGGAAGGGACGTCGTGGGCGGATCAATGGGATCCGCAACCAGCTTATGGTAGCCACGAGTACGATGGTAAAACGGCTAAGAAGAAGAAGAACAACAACAACGATGGATCAGGAGGCGCGAAGAAGAAGGTCGAAGAAGGGCTTAATAAGACTAAGGAAGTTGCTTCAACGGGTTTTAAGAAGGTCAAGCAGGGTACTTCAATGGGTTTCAATTGGATCAAAGACAAGTACCAAAAATCTACCCAAAAACATTGATTACAACTTACTGTCATGTAATTATATGATCTTAATCATCATCTTGATTATTCTTCATACATATCTATACCTTTACTCGATTCGATTTCTTTTATCAAGTTTTGTGTACTTCCAGATTCCTTCACTCGTCTTTTCTATTTTTTTAGTTATGCATTTGAATGTATATTATATATACGAAATAGTGTAAAAAGTTCGATTTTGTATAAATCTTTTTCTATTTTCTCTGTTTATTTTTGCTGCAAATCTCAATCCCATGATTCTTTTCCTTGTTCTCCTGATCATCTATTTTATGACAAATATATTAATACTCCTTCCATTTTATATGGTTCAATTCTTCCCACTCTAACACCAATCTTGTACTGTCTCACCGAAAGATTTAAATGGAAAAACCATCACCGAAAGATTTAAATGGAAAAACCAATATGTAGCGGAGGAAGTACGGAAAAAATGTCTTGTGAGACTTGTTTATTGTTGTTGTGAAATATGAGATTTTAGTTTCTTATAAAACTAAAAATTTATATGTAAGGTATCATATTATTTCGATTTTTATATGTCAAACTTTATTTTTTTATTTTTTTTATTTTGATACTATCTATCATGTATTGAATAGTTATTGTACAAATGATCAAATTTTATATATATTAAACAACTCCTATTCACTGTCACTCACAAAAATAATAGTCAAGATTACGAGTCTTGTAAAATTCTATATATATTAATCAATGGAACACACTTCAATTTGAGGAGTTTTGCTGAAATCTAAAATCTAATCTACTACAAATATTATCATAACTATAATAATATTTATCAATTTAAATCATTAAATTAAAAAGTAAAAATACCATTAAAAAAATTAAGATTTAATCTTTAAATAAATTCGGTAAGTTCATACTTAAAAACATTGAATTAACATGCATGATTTAGTTGTCCATATAATGAAAAGTTGCGATAAGGATCAGCAGCACGCCAACAACCACCGTCCTCTTTGATAGTTTGATGGGTCAACTGCAATTACTTATTGGTTACCTTCCTTGCCTCTATTCAAATGGGAAATATGTTAAGTATGAAAATTCGTATAAAATAAAATTAAATACAAATTCAAAGGATAGGATAAATTATTCACGCTTTCATTTTTTATTTAATAATCATAATTATAATATCCTCATATTATTAGGTAAAGAATAATCTTTCTACAAAGAATCAAAGACTAATTAGGCCTTAATTGATTTGCAATTACATATGTTAAGATTAGGTAATAAAAATTCGAATTTCACATGCAATGACAAATCTATATGTATCTATAACTATAACTAAAGTAATTAACGCTGACATGACTACTATCCACGTGCCAATTTCTTATAAAAAATATTTGCGCCAAAATAATCAATGATTTCTTCAACGTTCTGAGGCCCTGCCTCGTTCTTATCTTTGATCGAAACCAGACTTTCCATGTAAGCAAAAACTCCTTGACACGACTTTTCCTTCTGAAATGCAAGATCCTTAATTTCTTGGGGTTTTTCGGGATCCAATAAGACCAGCTTACCATCGTTACATTCTAGTAAGAGCCTGTTATTTCTCCAATGACCAACAGGACACCAGATATCTGACAATGGTCCCACAGTAAATTTCCTGGTCCAACACTCCTCACTCCATATCCAAATATCGAACTTCTTAGTCTGATGGAGACACAGAATCGCAAGAGAATCATCATACACTCCCAGACGCTTAGAACTTGGTTGTGCATAGTCTGGAACATCAATTTCTTTGAACGCATCAGTAGCCATATCAAAAGAAATGATCAGTTCAGAACTATATTCAAATGATCCGAACCAGTAACAACATCCATTCACATAGATGTAACATTTATTACTTTCCAAACTATAAGCTCTAGCCAGATCTCCACAATACCTCCACGAATTAGTCCTTAACGAATAGACAAGGACTGATACAGGATGCTTGGCATCACTTTCATCGTCATAATTAGTAAGCCAATAACCTTTCATAACAACCACCTTATAGTCTCCACTAACAGGATCAAACCCGAAACCATAAACTTCATACGAAGCATAAGTGAATTCGGATGGAAGATCAGGCTTACAAATTATTTTAGGCAAGGGTCTAAATTCATTGATGGCTGGATTCCACAAAGCACGACCACTACAATCGTAGTGATACACATAATATAATCCGTGACACGAACCACAAACATACAAGCTATGCATTGGCATACTATCTAACTCTTGATCAGCTAAAACTCGAGGAGATTCATCAACCAACAGCTCATACAGCTCAAGTTCAGAATGGCTAACATAATATTGAACAGGGATACAACCGCGCCAACTTTCATCATTGTTATAGTAGTTATTCAGGTGTTTTGATATGAAATCCGGACTCGAAATAATAGCATACCATAATTTGCAAACACTCTTAAACTGTAACAGAGCTTTCACAGGTAACCATGACAGAATCTCAATGATTAAATTTTCATGCAGATGATCAATCTTCTCAATTGCAATTAACATTGACCTCTCTTTTTCTTCATTAATTCTGATAAATTAAAACCCAAAACTAGAATCAGCAAATTTAAACCACCCATCAAAATAAATTAAATCAGAAGGGATAAAGATATAAGGATTTGACCTTTGTTTCAAGAGATGATAAAAACGGCTGTTGTCATTTGACCAAATGTAACGCTGCAAAGATAGAGCCATTGCTGCAACAACAACAAGATAATTGAGTTAATTTTTTAACTATATAATGTATCAAATAAGAAATTGAAAGCAGAAAATGAACGGGGTTTAGAGAATATACAATTAATATTGCAGGATTGAAGACAAAGCAGAAAAAAACGAATGACAATTATATGAAATATAGCATCAATTTATGAAACTTATAGAAGAGAAATACAGAAAATAATACAGTACCTGGGTATTAGTTTAAAAAGATCGATCTGAATCTGGGTTTGAAGAAGAAGAAGAAAATAAAGTCAATTTGGCGAGCAAATTCTGCCTGATGTCAGTTTTAACAACTGAATTTGATTATAGTAAATGGCTAATCAATAATTTCCTCGCTTCAATATTGTGTGTGTACTCGAACTTGTCTTCTCGTCTAGTTTAACTGTTTAAGTAATAAGTATAGGAACTCTTTTGGTTCTTAAATACGGAATATGAGAATCATGATATACGGACGGGGCGTTTGGTATGGTATGTGAGATCAAGAAGGATATTTGGTATGGTATGTGAGATCAAGAAGGATAAGAGAGTCCGTAAAAAAAATAAAAAATTAATTAAATAAATAAGAGGGTAGGAAAAGGATAGTGAGTTATGGGTGGTATAAAGATAAAATAAAGTGTTATCTTTTGTTTGGTATAAGTTAGGGATAAAAGTAGAATCTGTGATAAAGTTATAAATATATGTTTACTAACTCTATCTTTCTCCTTTATTTTTTTCATTAAGGTTACATATGTCATTTTTGTTATAATCCTTGTCCAACCATCCTTATACCAACCTCTTATGTATAGATGAGGGTAGAGGTGATCAAAGTTAGCCCGGCCCGACCTGGCTCAATCTTGGGCGGGATTTGGACATATTTTTTTTTGCCTGAAATCGGGTTGGGATCGGCCGTCTCAAAACTTATTTTGGGCGGGTTTGGAAATACATTTTTATGCGTTTTTAGTTGATTTTTTAGCCTCGGCCCGAAAATGCCCCCGAAAAGCCTACACGGTCCGACCATTTTGGACAGATTTGGGCACAAAAAATCCGGCCCGCAGCTTCACCCGATCCGGCGTGGCCCGAGAAGTGTGCATAATTTTTTAACTTCAGCCCGACCCACCTAATGATAACCTCTAGATGAGGGATAAAGGGGGTTTAAACCTTGTCCCATCCCTCTCTCTAGTCCCAATCCCTATAAACAAACAATCAAACATGGTATTTTATTAGGAAAAATTACTCTGAATAATTTGATCTTTGCTTCATCCGTCCAAAATAATTTCACATTTCGATTGTTTTTAATAATCCGACATTTATACTTAATGCGCTCTTAATGGTCCTAACCAATCATCCAACTTGTTATTACAAGTTATTAGACATGTGTCAACCTATAATTGGTAAAAAAATTATAATAAAAAATAAATTAAAAAGCCCCAAACCCAGATGGGTATAGGAGGTGGGTGGGCTGGGTAGAGGAGGTGGTTTCAATGGTGGGTTTGCCAGAGAGCGTGGCCGTGTTTTTCCTTTTAATTTTTCGATAATTTTTTACCAACCATGTGTTGGCACGTGTGCAAACAATCCCAAGTCACAAATGGCAACTTGTTTAGCCGACTTCAAGTCACTTAATTGGGGCTATTGGGATTTGGGGGTGGATTGAGCGTATAGGTCATATTATTAAAAAATAGGAAAAATTCATGGCAATAATCCGACCTTTAGCCCATTCTTTTTTAATAATCCGACCTTTAGGGGTCTTTAATTTTTATTGGTCCCAACCGGTCATGTAACCTGTTATAACAGGTTACATGACACGTGGCGGCCTGCGATTGGTAAAAACAAAAAACAAAAAAATAACAAAAAAACAGAAAAAAATAAAAATAGCCAGCCACCAGGGAGCCCCCTGCTCCGGCAGACGCGCCCAGGCCAGCCCCCTGCTCCGGCAGGCGCGCCGGCGGCTGGCGGCTTACCCCCCCTTCCTTCTCCTTCCTCCCCTTCCCTCTACCCCTGATCTTGCCCTGCCATCCGAGCAACACCGAACCACCCCCGTCCCGCATCTCTCTCACTCGCTCCCTCACTGCCACCACAGCAGCCCATTTGGGGGAATAGGGTTTATGGAGGCCAGAAAACATGGTAAGGGTGGTTTCGGGGCTGCGGTGGTCGGAAGGGGTTGCGATGAGGCAAGGTGGAGGTTGGTTGCGGTTTTCGCGGGTTAGGGTTTGTTTGGATGGGTGGGGCGACGGTTAAGGGAAGGTTGGAGTAATAAGGTGTGGTTCGGCCGGCGGTGGGTGAGCGCGACGCCGGCCGGTCGATTTCTGGGCTGGGGAGAGGGGAGCTGCGTGAATGGGAGGGGGAGAGGGAATGGTGGCAGGGGTGGTGGGGAAGGTAGTGGCAGGGGTGGTTCTGTTTTTTTTTTATTATTTCTTTTTTTTTGTAAAAATTATTAAAAATTAAAAAAAATTGTTTTTCTTTTTTTAATTTTGTTTTTTAATTTGAAATTTTAAACAAATTGCATAGTGACACGTGTATTTAAAATCAAAAAAAAAAATTGACCGGTTTAACCGATTTCTGGTCAAATGGGACCATTAAAAAAGAATTGGAGGTAAAGGTCGGATTATTAAAAAAGAATGGGCTAAAGGTCGGAATATTCCCATGATTTTTTCCTAAAAAATAATCTAAACGTGAGATTAATTTGGGCGTGTGAGGCAAATGTCGAATTATTCCGGACAATTTTTTCATACTCTTCCCTTTGTTTAATTATTTTTTTTATTTTATTAATTAGGATCTTTATTTACTATATTTCCACTCAACACAAGCTTTGGCTTAGTTTTGTTGTAAGTTAATCTACATACTCTTCCCCTTTTTTTTTTCTTTTTTTTATTAATCAGAATATTATTTACTATATTTATTTCCGCTCAACACAAGCTTTGGCTTAGTTTTATTGCAAGCTACTTTGATCTCCATACTCTTCCCCTTTTCTTTATTTTATTTTATTAATTAGGATCTTATTTACTATATATACTTCCACTCAACACAAGTTTTGGCTAGGATCTTAATTTATTATATTTCCACTCAACATAAGTTTTGGCTTAGTTTGTTGTAAGCTACTCTGATCTCCATACTCTTCCCTTTTTTTTTTTTTTTTAAAAAAAAAAAAAAAAAAAAAAAAAAAAAAAAAAAAATATTTTATTAATTAGGATCTTTATTATTTACTATATTTCCGCTCAACACAAGCTTTGTCCTAGTTTTGTTGTAAGTTACTTTGATCTCCATACTCTTCTTTTTATTTTATTTTTTTATTAATTAGGATCTTTATTTACTATAATTTGATACTTATTTTATACAATTTCTACAAAATGAACTTTGTTGATTGTAATAATTTATCCAGGCCATTTTAAAACTTGTACAATACCAATCACTTTTACAATCTCTAATACACGTATTATTTTCTCCTCCTCTATCTTGATTTCCTGATTTCCATACACTTTGTAATAACATTAGTATTTTCATTTTTGTGTAACAATACTAGGTTAAAATGGAAAAAGAAAACAAGAAGGCATGGCTTGTTCTCACGATAACTATATGGGTCATCTTTCAACAGATTAATGCAGCTGATATAACCTTCAAACTGAGAGTGAGGGACAGCTTAGTTGGTAACAGCTTTTCTCCCGGTTTAAGTTGATCTAGGATCGATTTCCATCCCCGCCCTAAGTGACTCATATGAACCAAAAAAAATTTAAAACCTTAAAACTCGAACCAAAACCTACACATCGTACTTATAACACCTTTCTGCAAAGTATACGTAACCAAGTTAAGGATCCAAGCTTAGTGTACAAGGGAATTCCGATGATTCGAGCACCAACCAACCCAAATACATATCTTTTGGTTGACCTTGAATCTAAAAAGGATAATAATCAGATATCCGTTACACTTGCTTTAAGTAGAAACGATTTGTATCTAATGGCCTTTGCTGATAAATATAGAGGTGAAGTACGCGGCCATTTCTTTCCCGTTCTTGATATTGATACCATTGATAAGGCAAATAAAGTTTTTCCAGAAGTTCAGCATTTTGTAAATATTAATTATGGGGAAAGATAATTATGGGGAAAGTTACAGTCAAATCGAAAGAAATGGTGATACAAACCGATTAAGTTTCCCATTATTTGATAACCTTAAAACTTTCACGGATAAGGTCTATGGAATGGATACTACGGCCATAGATTATACCTGATAGGCGTGTCGCGTATCTAACAAAAATAACCTAACTAACCACTACTATGTAGACATGCAAGTAAGGGTCGAATCCCAAGAGACTAAGGTTCAAACAATTAAATAGACTCAAGTTATTACTAAGCAAGAATCAATAATGGTGGATTAAACTATATGCTAAAATATGGAAAACTAGAAATAATCAAATGAATATGATAAATCAAATAATTAAAACATCCAAGATCTAGTATCACCACAATTACGCTTGATGCAATTATATTTCTACCCCTAACATACGATTCCAATTGAACGGGGAAAAGTAAACCCTAATCAATACCAAAGACCTCTCTCGAGTATCAATGGATTCTCTAACATACAATCAAGCCTATTCTCATGGTATCATGCAAATTAGAGACATTAAACACATTATTCTAACTTCCCAATCATCAACCCAACTATTCTCATGTTGAATATCAAACCCTAAATTGATCTACTCAAATCCGTTTAAACCCAACTCTCGCTGTGATAGAAACAATGGAATAATCACAATACTAAATTACGTCTAACCTAGTATTGGCATAATCACAATCAATTTAGCATAGCAATTGCAAAAGTTATTAGAGAATTTAAAGATTTAATTCATGCATCAATCATAATTGGGCTACCCTAGATCTTGGAATAGGAAATCTACTCACTCATAATGAAATAAACAATAACAAAAATAATTAAAGAAAACATAATTAAGGAATAAGGGATTAAAAGAAAATACCGAATCTTGAATTGAATTGAAAGCGAAAAGTAGAAATCTTGAATCTTGAATTACAAAAGCAAGGAAAATAAAATAGAGAGAACTAGTTCTTAACAACGTAAAACTAATGAATAATAAAAACTTAATTAATAATAAAACACTACTTAATGTATATATAGGCCTAGGAAGATAAAAAGATAAACATCTTTTCTTGGCGCACAAGGACTCCAGGAGGCACGGACGTGCCTCTATGCGTGCATAAACTGCTGTGGCTACTGACTTCCAGGCACGGACGTGCCTGCTCTGCTGCGCGTATCACTCATCTTAAATCAGTCATAACTTCATATCCGGAGCTCCGTTTGAGGCGTATAATATATCGTTGGAAAGGTCTTCAAGTCTAATTTCCAATGAAATTTGAATCACTCCATTTTAATTTGTATAACAAAAGTTATGAGCATAATAGTGAACAGGTGTCATATTTGTCAAGTATTTCATCAACGTTTTGCTTCATTTTCACTCAAGTTCGTCTCGAACACATGATTTGATATTCTTAAGCAATATGTTTTCATACTCCATGATTATTATACTCAAGATTAGCCAACCATACTCCATTTGCATATAAATCACCTGAAATTCATCAAAACACACAAACGAAGAGTAGTAGAGCACAACTTAAGCAAATAATGCAAATATGCACCAAAGATCTCTAATTTTGTAATCAAATGAGCTTAGATACCCACCTAAAACATGTGCAAAATAGGACCTATCAATACCAAAACTGAAGCTCGGTTCCTACTCATTGCGGTTCAAATGGTTGCAGAGGCAGCACGTTTCAAGTACATCCAGGGTTAGTAGAGCTATCGTAACTACAACTCCTAACAATCATAAAATGCGGTCTATAGAGAACGACTGGGAGATATTTCGAAAGGCATTCAGAATGCTGTTAAAAAAGTCATTATTCCACCAATGATTTTACAATACCCTGATGGTAAGACATGGACAGTTACACGAGTGAGTGATGTGAAAAATGATACGGGACTCCTAAAGTACGTTTAGTAATTAATACGGTACGTCGGTACATATTTCAAACTTAAATAATTCTATATTAATTAATTAATGTTAGTCTACTACTAGTAAGTTATTTTATATGTAGACAATATTTTGGATACGGTTGCTACTTAAAATAATAATGTGTAATAATAGAGTAGTTTAAGAGTTTTGTCTTCCATATACGTGAGTTTATCTTAAAACTAAGGAAAAATTCATGGGAATAATCTCACCTTTGGG